CTCTCTCTCTCTCTCTCTCTCATCTAGCAAGTTAATTTTCTAAAATTCAAATTCACCTCAAAGTTACTTGTGGGAAAATGTCAGCATGACATCATGGTGGGTTCCAGGGGACAAATTCCAATGAGTCATAACACTATGGTGGAATCTTTTCTTCCTGTTTGCAGGAAAAGGCAAGCTCAGGGAGCCAAATCCCTCATCCAGATAATTAGCAACTATCCAATCTGTTAATTGAGGACATGTGTGCCAAACCATCTTGGCAACCTCAGTCAAACAGTTGTAGGGTGGTCAGTCAGTCAGCACAGTTATCCAGTGCCAGAGTGTACTCGGCCCTACATTAAGGACTTTACATTAAAGACAGATCAGATTTGCTCTTTGACTTGGAAGAATGAATGTGCTAAATTGGTAGGAAATTGGCAGCTCTTAGTCCTAAATTTGGCAATGCTGAGAACAAAATTATTTCATTAACCCTATCTCTTTTTATGATCTTCAATGAAAAAAATTACTCCCTTCTCTAGCTTCACTATAATTTGAGAGAAATTTTAGGAATCAGGTACTACTATGCCCAAGCGCAGGTGACAGAGCATAGCAGAAACAAGTGTTGATGTGAAAAGGATGGCCCCCTGGGAAGGTCTCATTCACAATTGGGAATTTTCAGAAAAATCTTCCAATTTTCTAGCATATTTCTACAGATTTAAGTGTAGTTCCCAAGCCTCTTCCTAGTGGACATGCATGATTACATTACTAATCCAGTTATTCTCAACTGAAACTCTGAGCTAAGGAGAAAAGGACAAAGAGCAAGGGAAATGTGGTGTTGTTGTATGAGGCAAGCTAGGTGCCACCAGGAACGTCCAGCAGACAAATGAGAAATCAGCGCCATTCTGGAGAACAATAATTAGCCAATATTTAATATTCTAAGACAATATAGATAGTTAAGCCAAAACGAAACCTTTTTGGAGGCTGATGTTCTCATGAACAAGGTGTGCATTGGTTATTTTGAAATGATTTGCTAAGAAGCAGATCTATCTCTACTCAGTTTGATTTGAAATTTCAGAAAGCATAGGCACTGAATACATGTTGGCAAGTTCAGGGTTAAAAGTGGCTGAACAAGAGCAGAATTCCTGTTTGCCAATTGTGAAAAAGGCAGTTATGTAACTGTGTGTACATTGGACAAAGACTGATTGTGAAGCGATGTGCATGTGAGTTTTTCAAAATTAAGGTCAGTTTTAGTGAGTTTCATCTTGCTGGTAAAACCATGTTTGTCAAACATGTTAAAAGTGAGTAAGATTCAGCCACAACTTATGTGCATGTGAATACCTCAACTGTAACACATTTGAAGGATTTTTAGTGTGTTGTTAACTACTTTACAGTTTAAAAAAAATAGTACTTGACATTTGGAAGTGAAATGATATGTGCAAAACATTAGTCAGATGGTGCTTCTTGCTTTGTGAATGAACTGTATGTAGTCTGAACAAACGAGATCCAAGGTTTAGCACCATCAGCTCTTCAGTCAGCAGCCCACAAACACTGCACTCCCAGAGCACCTGATATTTTAATCATGTAAACCTCCAAAATCCACAACATATCTGGTGATGCATTAAAAGCAAGGAACAACTTTCTAAATGAGTAGATGAAAAAACTTGCAGCAGATGGAATAATGATCTATGCGTTGATGGCTAGACTTGCAAAATATAAGCTTCAAGCATGTAGCCTTGTCCTTTCCACCATATGGATTATCACAGTGCTTTCAGTACATAGTAGGTATACCATAAATTTTCATGGCCTCTCGAGTCAAAATTCCTGCTCAAGTCCCCATTTGCCAACTGTGGTCTGGGTGAGTTACTATCCTCTCATGTTACCCTGTTACATCAGTGTCTCCCTCTGGAGGCTCCGCTGAGGATGGCATGACATCATCCATGATTGATGGTGCAACATGCAGTGAACTTTCTATAGATGGCCACTTTTTCGTGAGAATAATAATTAAGATTTTCTTGGATCTTTGACATAATTTTAGGCCTTTAACATCTATAAATTTCATACTAGGGAAAAATTTGGAGCTTTATTTCAAGAGCATTGGGTTGAAAATATGATCTTTTTTTTCTGGCCAAGATTTCAAAATTTGAGGCTCAGCAAGAGTCTGGAATTATTGAACATTAACACCTTAAAAAACATGCAAAGTACAATGACATCATGAACTGGTACAATGTTAGTAAATTCAATAGCATCCTTCAGTCATACCATGCAACCAGTTTTAGGCAGTAAATTATCAAGTCTTTGTTAAATAAATGTGATCTTTTCTCATGTAAAGGATGCTTTGTGAAGTGTGTTTTCTCTAGCACTGTCCTTTCCTTCCTCCTCCTTTTTAAGTTCTAAAATAGTGTCACTTTTTTTGGTTTTAGAAAAAAAGTATTTACACAGTATTTAATAAATGTATAATGAATTAATTAATAAACATTTTTTATCTCTGTTAAATATGTTTCTAATTAACTTATTTTCCACTGCATTCAACATATTTCTATGGATCACTTCTTAGTGCAAATCTCCTGAGAACACTGCAATGTGTGTCTGACATGATCCCAGCACTAGATCTGAAATCTTCCCACATGCATCGGTCTTCAAGACAGGCCTGGTGAAGCCTTCAGAAGGGCTTAGTTGTCCTCACAGATATGTGAGCACATAGTTGGAAAATGCGTACAGGCACCCAAAGAACCTGGTGCCACCTGTGGGCACTGTGGAAGGCTGTTGATTCACTCAATCATAAAACAGTAATATACGACAATGCAAGGTTATATTTATTTATTTATTTATTTATTTATTTATTTATTTGCAAGGTTATATTATTGCAAAAAAATTTGTCAACACAACGCAATAAGAAGAATGTACTCTGGTGTATTTGTAAATGTTGAAGAGTGTCAACCCACTATATCCACTTTCTGCATCTGTGGTTTCTACCAGCCGTGTATCAAAACATATTGGACAATAAATAATTATGCACCTGACTGAATACATACAGACTTTTTCTTGTCATTATCTTCTAAACTACACAATATAAGAATTAGTTGCATGACACTAAGAGGGTACTAGGTGTTATAAGTAATCTAGAAATGAGTTAAAGTGTCCAGGAGCTTTGTGTAAATTTTATACAAATACAACACAATTTCATGTAAGATATTTGGGAATCTTTGGATTGTGATATTTTTAAAGGTCCTGGCACCAATTCCTCACAGATGACTACATATGTCTAGTTATGTATTATATGTGTAAATCACTAATCTCAGTAAACTTTTGGACTAATTCCTTATACAAAAAATGGGTATACGTTAAGTACTTTTAATGAAATTTATTGTTCTACACAAAGCTCTACTAGTTTCTTAAGATGGACAAAATAAGTACCACAAACTGAGAGGTTTTAAATAACAAAAATGAACTGTTTCAGAGTTCTGCAAGCTAGAATTCTGAAATCAATGTTGTAAGTGTCATGCTTTTTCTAAAACTAACGGGGATACCTTCTTATTTTATCCTACATTTTTGACATTTGTCCACTGACAGCTATGTGACTCCAATGTCAATATTCATTTTCACATGGACTTTTTTCTGTATTTTTTATTGAGAAACAAATAGCCATGAGAGTTTCAAAACTGATTAATAGGACAGTTTCAATCATTAATACATTGTACATTGTTATCTTCTTAGTGGTTATCTATAGTAGAAGATGCAGACAGGATATCCTATCCAAACACGATTAGTACAAATTTTTCTTCTCATTGATTTAAGCGAAAGTAGCTATATATCTATGCTAACTATTCTGTATATACACATAAAAAATGGTCCTTCATTTGTATCCCCTTTTTTTGTTTAGTCCTGTCAGAGATGGGTATTCCACTGGCATCTAACTACTATAAATGCGTGAATTCAGCAAAACAGTCCAACACAGTCCAGCAGTCCACAATAGTAGTGGGTTATCCACAGAAGTTGTTGAATTGAGCATTTCACAGCTCAGCATATTAATATGGCTGTACTTTATATACTTTGTTTTTATGCTTTTCTGCTGGATGGTTAAGACCAAGATAAAGCAAGACCTATATATCAAGAAATGTAACTTTTGTATCTGACAAGGTCAGTCAAATCCCCTCAGGATTTATCCTGTAACCCTGTACTGCACTTTGTAGAACCTTCATCAGTGTTAGCCCTGTGGATGAGCCACAGCCATTGCTTGACCAGTTTGCTCTCAGTGAAAGCCTGAGAGAATGTTTTCTCTCCAACATGGGGACTTTGCTTCCTGGTCTCTGTCCTCACTTAGCCAGCTTCGTATGGTGACACCAATGAGACTCACACACCACCAGTGTGATCTCATCTTGATGAGCTGCAGTTGATCCTCTACATGTATGTGGTCTGAATCTGTATATTCCCCCAACTAGCTGTCAAAAATAGTTCCAAAATTGTACGGACACATATAGATATGTTCTTGTCATTGCCCACTGGACAATAGAGAATAAATAGCATTTACATGTTATTTACATGCCATTCAGTAATATAGGTAAAATAGAGACTCAGGAGGCTCTATGTAGATTATGTGCAAATGTGACACCATTTAAATATAAGGGACTTGAACATCTGTGGATTTTGGCATCCATAGGATTCCTAGAACCAATCCTTCATGCATAGAGAAGTATAGCTATAAATCCACAATGACTCTGTTTCCAAATGGGGTCACTTTCTGAGGTACTGGGGTCACAGCTTTATAATCATTAATCCTAATATATCAAATTCATTAGGTTAAGAAATGCCTAAGCAATTAGGAGAAGGAGTTCTAGGGCTTGAGCTTGTCTGAGTGGGTCAAGGAGGGGTGGCCTTAAGAAAATATATTGTTTACACCCTGTTTCTTGGTGACAGTCTTCCCTTGCTCTGATCCCTGCCTTCAATAACTAGAGGAGCTTTGTTCCATCATGCCTTTTCACCCTGATGTTCTTTCTTTGGAGCATGTCTACAATGGACCAAATCCCCAAACTGTTAGTCAAATAAACATTTCCTCTTTTAAGTTGTGGGTATCAAATATTGTGCCAAGAAACAGGAAAATTGAATAATTCAGGAAACTGCAACCAAGGAAGAGGTTTCAATGCAGTAAATGTACTTGATTAAAGGGTTCATAAATCTTTGGAACTGCTTTGGAGAAGTTTGGAAAGGTATGGAAGTGTGGGCTAGAGAAGCTGCTAGAATGTTATAAAAAGTGATTGACATGTGATTCTGTCAGAACTCAGAAGGTCAAAATGCTGATAGGAATGTGGACACCAAAGCCCAGGCTTAGGAAGTTTTGGTTGGAAATGATTCTACTGGCAATTGGACTACAGGCCAATATGTTACACTGTGGCAGAAAGTTTGTCTGCATTTTTCCCATCTACTGAGACTTCACAAGAGACTGAGAATAAAAGTAATGGACTAACTAAATTTTGAGATGGCCAACTTTAAGACTATGGTATGGGTCCTTCTGGCTGCTTTTAGGCAGAAACTATAGTGAGAATTGGGGGAAAGGTAGAGAAGAAAAATGTAAAATTTGACCAAGAAGGATTCATGTGTAATGCAGGGACAAAGGTGTGCTACTTAAGAGATGAGCACCATCAAAAAGAAACCAAGCACTTTGTACAAAGATAAGAATAAAGATTACCTGAAGGTATATCAAAACTCATCAGGACTTGCTTTCACCTTGGTGAAAAAGTGGCAAACTTTCATTTAAGAAGAAAGTTCCTGGGACCTGTGCTTGAGATGGGCCGCCTATGAAAAATTGTCCCTAGGCTTCATCTTACCACACTCAACTGTCCAGGCACTCAGACTGTTGGTGGCATGTCCAAAGGAAGCCTGACTGTCACCCAGGCTGGTGATACACATTACAGTCATTCATGTGATTTTGGTTTAATCAGCATCCACAATACAACAATGAGGGTTTGTGGGGTCATGCATGTTTCCACCCAGCCTTCAAAGTAGCTGGAGGCCAGTCAAGGAGCTGCCGAGAAAGGATTGCATGAAGCTATGGCAATGAAGCAAAGGTGTAGAAACAAGGTCAGAAAAGGGAAGAATATGGAATTTCTTCAAGAAAATGTGCAGGTCGTGAGTGCAGCCAGCCCAGGAAACAGTCCATGTGCACTACAGCCACTAACACCACAGGAGTGGGTTCTTTGGAACTCCCATTTTAACACCTCATTCCCAGGTGCCAGATATTTAATTATAGAACTTTACATTTTCCGTGCTGCATTTTGGTCCTCCTCTGGTCCAATTCTCTTCAACCCCTTAATACTCACTTTTGAAAGAGAAATATTTATCCTGTGCCATTGTAGAATTTTTTTTTCTTGGCTAGCTCAGGCTGCCTTAAAGGCAGGTCTGGTGCTGCATTTGGTGTTGGGAATTGAACCATGGTCCACTGCTCCTGACTGAGTTTGTCCAAACAGGCACTTTAGAGAATTGAACTAACCTGCAAGCCCCTTCTGTGCCATTGTACATTGTGCTAATATAACTTCTTTATTTTTTAAGGTTTTTTTTGTTATTGTTTTTTTTTTTTTTGTGCAAGATCTCACTATGCAGCTCAGACTCATAGTGATCCTCCTGATTTCTGCCTCCCTAGAGGTGGGATTAAAGGCATGCTCAACCACACCCAGACTCCATCACTGGCTCAGTGAGCCTGTGGGCAGGGCCAGAGCAGCATGCGGTGCCAAGGATCAAAACCTGGTCCCTAAACTTACTAAGCAAGCACTTAGTTTGCAAAGCTACACCTCTGGCCCTAACTTCTTTATTTCTACAGAGGTTTACAGCTAAGAGTTTATCTTAAGCCTCAGAAGAGACATGGAAAAAAGCTTTATAAAAATGATGTAACTAGCTGGGCATGGTGGCACATACATGTAATCTCAACATTCAGAGGCTGAGGCAGGAAGATTGTTGCATGTTCAAGACCAACATGGGCCAGAAAATGAGCTCAAGGCCAGCCTAAACTATGTAATGAGAGAGATCATGTCTCAAAAAGACAAAAAATAAAAACAAAAATGTTGTAACTGCTAAGATTTTGAGAAAGAAATTATTACATTTCTATTTATATACAAGGTAATTGTACTATCTTAACAGAATTATGAACTTCTTTTGTCTTTATCTGGAGATTAAATATAATTTATAGAGATCTGATGTTTTCAGGTGTGAAACTGACACGGATTGGTGCAGACCCATGAGCCAAGGTCACTGGCTATGTTCAACTGCGCTTGTCAGACACAATGGTGGACAGCCAGGACCCAGGCAGAGACCCAATGAAATGGAAGAGGAAGGAGTGGAAGGAGCAGCAGGCCATGATGAAACTCAATGTCCTGACCACAGAAAGTGCTAACCCCATGGGAGACAAACTTAACTTTAGGACCACAGAGCCCCATGAGCCCCTTCTTGTTCAGGATGTGGTTTTCACTCATGAAATGGCTCACTTTGTGCAGAAGCAAATTTGTGAGACAGTCATACATGCTAAAGGAGCAGGGGTCTTTGGCTACTTTGAGATCACTCATGACATCACCAAGTACTGCAAGGCCAAAGTGTCTGAGCATATTTGGGAAGAGGACACCCATCAGAGTTCGCTCCTCCACTTTTGCTGGAGAGGCAGGTTCTGCTGACACAGTCCCTGAACCTTGTGGGTTTGCAATGAAATTTTACATTGAAGATGGTAACTTGGATCTTTTGGAAATAACACCTCCATTTTCTTCATCAGAGATGCCCTATTGTTTCTGTCCTTTATTCAGAGCCAAAAGAGAAAGCATCAAACACACCAGAAGGATCCAGACATGGTGTGGGACTTCTAGAGCCTGTGTCCTGAGTCTCTGCACTGGGTTTCTTTCTTGTTCAGTGATCATGGGGTTCCAGATGAGCATCAGCATATGAATGGATAATGCAAATGGAGAGGTGGTTTATTGCAAATTCCATAATAAGACTGATCAGGGCATCAAAAACCTCTCTGTTGAAGAGGCAGCCAGACTTTCCCAGGAAGATCCTGACTACATCTTCTATGATTTTCTCAATGCCTTTGTCAAGGGCACCTTCCCTACTTGGTACCTGACATCCAGACCATGGTGTTTTAGCAGGCAGAATACTTTTGCTTTAACCTATTCTATCTCACCAAAATTTGGCCTCCCAAGGACTACCCTCTTATTCCAGTTGGCAAACTGGTCTTGGACCAAAATCCAGTTAATTACCTTACGGAGGCTGAACAGATACCCTTTGACCCAAGTAACATGCCACCTGGCATTGAGCCCAGCCCTAACAAATTGCTTCAGGGCTGTCTGTTTTCCTACCCTGACACTCACTGCCACCACCTGTGGCCCAACTGTCTTCAGATACTTGTGAACTATCCTTGCTGTTCTCATGTGGCCAATTATCAGCATCACACCCCATGTATGTGAACTGTAAAGGGTTAAAGTAAAGGTAGTATGATGAGTTAATGTAAAACTAAGTGCTAAAAATTACTCTGCTCAACCTTCTGTGGCCCTGCTTCCTTGTAAGACCATAAGGAGGCTTGGTGTATCATTGATAAATCACCAATAGACTGAGAGTTCCCAGAAAACAATGGTCATGCTGTCCCTAAAGGTACTATTCTATGTTAAATGACAAATTTGTTTGCCAAATAGGATGTAGTTTCTACCTTTGAATCTCTATACTTCTAAGGCTTCTGGCCATTTGTCCTCTCCTGTATGAGTAAGGTCAAGCGGTGTCAGGCCCAGTAATAAAAGGCTCATATTTAAATTTTAATTTGGACTCAGGTCTGGTTTCTATGTTGAAAACCCATAACATGAACAACAACCAAGGTGGCACTCTCAGCTACTACCTCAAAATCTTCAGAGTCCTGGTGCAGCAGCACCAAGCCCTGCAGTGCATCACCCGCTGTTCTGCCGATGTAAAGTGCTACAACATTGCTGATGGGGACAATGCCATGCAGGCGCAGATGTTCTATACCCAATTGTTGAGCAAGGAGCAGTGCAGACACCTGTGCAAAAACATCACAGGCCACCTCAAGGACACACAGCCCTTAATCCAGAAGAAAGCAGTCAAGAACTTCATGGATGTCCACCCTGACTATGGGGCCTGCATGCAAGCTCTTTTGGACAAATACAATACTGAGAAGCCTAAGAAAGCAATTCACATCTTTGTGCAGGCCAGATCTCACTTGGCTGCAAAGGAGAAAGCTAAGCTGTGAGGCTCCTCCACTGGGAGCTCTGCACCTGCTACTCAGAGCATAGTGCTCCCACCTGTTACCTGCATGGCTGGGCAGAAGCTTCTCCCAAGCCACGTGCACAAGTGCAACCTACTGTCTTAGAAATGATGATCCAGGCATTGAAAGCAAATAGCATAACAATGGCTTCCAATGTTATTTCCCTACAGGCAACTAAAGGTTAGGGCTTACCAGTCAGTAAGCAGAAACATGTATTTACACTTGACAGTTGTTGGATTATTCATGCAACATGATTAGGGCCGGGATGTAGTTCAGTGGCAGCACTAGGGCCAACCTTGCCAGTACAAGATCCTGAGTTCGATTCCTAGTACCAAATAGAATAAAATAAAATAGTAACTAGAAGTTTCTAGTCAGAAGCATGATATTTTTTCAGGGTGTAAGAAAAAAATTTGCTGAAATCATATCACCTCATGACCTCCTATATAAAAATATGGCTAACATTATACAATAAGAAAAGACAAAAATGTTCCACCCAGAGAATTACATTTTTTAAGATCCTTCTAGCAAAAGCACACTTAATGCATCAATGTCTTCAAGAAATATCTTTAACATTTAATGTTTATTCCTATTGGTAATTGATCAGTTTTACTTTTTTCACTTGAAATTATGTTTATGCTAATATTGCATTGATTTTATAGCAATTTGACTTGTAATTTGCTTACATTTTTACAATAAAGTAATCTGCATATAAGAAAAATAAGAAATTCCTACCGGATTAAGAAAGATGTGTTTGAGGGGTTCATAAAGCTGTGATGTTGAGTACTAGAGATGGCTCTTAGCTTGCTCCTCTCAGGCACTAGTTCCCCTTCTCTGTCTCCTGGCCACCATGAACAGAGCAACTCAGTGCTATGACCCCCTTTCACCATGACACTGCTGCCTTAGAGTCTGTCACCCATGAACTGGACTGTGAGCCAATGAACCTCCCTTCTTTCCTGTTTAAATTGTGGGGATTGGTGCTGTGTCAAGCAACAAGAAACTGATTAATATAGTGCAGGCTTCACAGTATCTTTCTGAGGTAGAAACAATTCAACTTACGACAAAAATAAGCCTTGAAATATATTTGTCTGTGTTGCAATGCCAAAAACAAATAGAATTTAACTCAACAAGCTATTTGCCACTTTGAGAAAGTGTTTTAATTTCTCTAGATGTCTGTGAAAGAATACATTTTTCCACAATAAATGTAAACCTCTCCAGTCTGAAATTAGGAGTCAATCTGCATAGAAAATATTTCTAAGGAACAGGAAATAAGAATTCTCACAACTCACAGAGCAAGTTATTTGTGAAATATTTAACTACAGTACTATATTGAGTCCCATTTTGTTTTGATTTTTTAATTCAAGTCCTGTTTTTATGGACTGTCTGGCAGGGGAATCTTCTGACATGATCAAAACTCTAGGTAGTGATAAAAGGGGAGTTTTTGTTTAGTTTTTGTTGGTTTTGTTTCTTTTTTGTTTTTAATCTGGAGTTGCAGTTGCATGAATATTTTACATTTAGGAAGTTCGCTAACTTGGAGGATTTGGGTTTTGATTTACATCCAAGTATATTCTGTGGTGTCTCTCTTGGAAATGTAAATACTATAAAGAAAATATTACTAAAAACTGGTTAAAATTTCAAATAACTGAATAAGGAAAAAGCAAATTTATAGAAGATATTGTGAAAATAATTGTTTTTTGTTTTTTAGAGAAAAGGATGAGATTATTTTGTCTCAGGGTCTAAATAGGGATGAAAAAGAAAGTTTACCATGTGCTTAAAGTGTTTTCTTATTGAACATTTCCCTATAAAAGGAACTGGAAATCTGGGGGAAAATAAATAAATAAATAAGCATATGTGGTATAGACTATTCCCTGCCTGACACTTAGTGGCAGATGCAAGAACTGCAGCTTTTGACCTATGGGAATTCTGTAGGAAAATCCTGAAGAGTTTACCATCCTTCACATTCACATGAACCCTTACTTCATTAGCAACGGATCACCAAAAACTTGACCCACATTATTGAAAGAAGGCCTGTAACAAGGCAGGCTGGAAAGTGTCTGATTCCCTACAATAATGTCACACAGATTCCCAAACAAGAAACAGAATACCCATTTTACTACTTGCTCTTTTATTATCACCTCAGTTTTCACCCCTGATTATTATATGTAGAAAATAATGAAAATCAGTATAGAGATTCACAAAGAGAAAAGAATCAGGGCCAGAACTTAACAAACATGTATGCAAATGAACAGGCAGGATTATTAATTGATACCACCTTATGATTGATTGGGGAAGCTAAATGAAAATGTTTTTGCAGAACTACCTGGCCAATCAAATTCTACCTCTGTGGATTTGTCCTGATGAAATAATCACTCCTCTAGTTTAAATACATCTAGCATTTGTATAGGAATATATTCCTTCCTTCATACTTATTAGCAAAATTGAAGGGGAACACCAGGAAAGATGAAATGAGGTAATTTTCTTTTTCATTACATAATGAAATAACATTCTATGTGAATATTTAATGATGGGGCATGGGGCTGCATGCCTGTAGTTTCAGCACGTGGGAGGCTGAGCCAGAAGGGTAAACGCAAGTTCATGGCCAGCCTGAACTATGTAATAAGCCCATGTCTCAAAAAAAGAAAGAAAAGAAAAACCTCTTTAATGTCAGGAAAATTTTCATGTGTTTTACCAATAAATTGGTTACAAAACTACAGCAAAACTTTGTGAAAAATTATATATAGAAGATAGGCCAAAGGGAAAAAAATTAACAAGATAAAAATCTCAACAATAAGCAGCTGAGGTTACAGCTCTGTGGTTACGGCACATGCTTGACATGCACAAGGCCCTGGGTTCAATCCCCAACATGACTCCTTGAAGACATTTTAAACTAATGTAATATAGATAGATAGATAGATAGATAGATAGATAGATAGATAGATAGATAGATGTAGATATAGATATAGATATAGATATAGATATCTATTTTGAATTACATATATATCCATAATGGTTATTATTAAAGAGTGACATTAAATTGTTGTCATATATAGAAGACATTTTTCTATAAAAGTGAATAATATTAAATAAATTGTATTTTCTTAAAACAATGAAACTTTGAAATAGAACAGTCACCACTACCAAAGCGTAGTGAGAGTTGAAAAGACAAGAAAGGTCGATTACCACAACTTGAAACTAAAAATTCATAGGACCTCCCAGTTCATCTGTGAAAAGAGAAAACACAACTGGGCCCAGAGCCCAGGATGAAGGGGGACAGCGGGTGTCAGGAGGCGCAAGACACTTGCAATGAAGCCACGCTGCAATTCTATAAGCTTGACTCCTTGGGCTTTCTTCCCCCACTTGGCCATGGTGGGAAAAGGATTTCCAGTAGAGTTTAATTAATCCTTATTCTTACCAGCTATAAAAAGTGATTTGCATTTTTTATTTCAAAGTTTCTGTGCCTCCTTCCTGCTCCAAAAGTATTCTTTTTTCTCCCATTCTTATATTAGTATATGTTTGTGATATATAATAAATACACTTGTTCTGGGGTGTCCTGGTCAATTCATGGAGTCAACCTGAGAAGTTTAGAAGTTTAATTAAGTGACTTAGCAGGGAGCCAGAGATCTTACTTTGTAGACATCCTCATCCTGTGCAAGAGCAAGGTGTGGATATTGTGTGACTTCTGCACCCCTAGGCCAAGGTCGCCTGCTTATCATGTAAGGAAACAGGCAGCTGCTGCTGCTCCTCCCTTTGCTCTTTGCTCTTTTCTGCCACCATGAACAGCCGCCCTCTGCGATGTGCCACTCTGCCTTAGAGTCAGCCACGTGTAGACTGAGACCTCCACAAACTGAGCTAAAATAAACCTTTCCTTCATTCTGGGTGTTGACTATTTTGTGTCAGCAACAAGAGACAGGTAACTGAGACATGGGGTGTTACATCAGTACACACGAGTATCGAATTCTGATCATTTTTACTCCCCCTCCCTCCACTCCCTCATGTCTGTCCCTATCCCCATTCTCCTCTTCATCTCCATAGAGTCTATCTCCCTGTTTTGTATACTCTTACTTTGCTCCAAAATTGCTGGTACTTTATGTTTCTCATATAAGACAAGCCAAGTGGTATTTAACTTTTGCTGCTGCTCTGCTCTTCCCCAGGGCTATGGAAGTGCAGGCTGGGCCTGTTTTTCCCCATGGGAAGTCTGTGTGGTTACTTTAGGGGCTTGGTTCTTATGAAATCTTTAGCAATTCACTTTCACTGGAGGCATATTCCTGCTCCCTAGAGCAGCACATGCTCCTAGTAATCTGTGCATCCTCATCATCTCTCTTGGTCTCTACATATTCCTTTCTGTACTTTCTATTCTAGTAGACATATGTGGTTTCTGCGAGTGCTGCACATTGCTATATACCATTTTTTTTCGTGATTGGCAAGTGAAGGCTCAAATAATTTAACTGTAATTCTGAATTTGATAAATTTGTGACAAGTTTCAACCCATAAAAGGAAAATAAGACCTGTTGTCACTGTCTGAAGCCTCACTCAAGGGCTCTGAATCATTCAGTACAATATCCCTGTCTTCTCTTCAGAGGCAGCGCTTGCTAAGTGTCCAGCTTAAACCACCCCACCTAGAAGAAGGTGAGCAGAGGAAGACCATCAGGTAAGACTCACACACCTTCCCTTTCTGTCTTTAATTGAGACCTCCAAACAGGTTGTAACTAGTTCAAAAGTCCTATTTCAGCATGACTTCGCACACGTTCCTTAAATAGTATTAAATTTACTATCAAACATTGAAATGTAGAAAACAATTATAACTTCTGTACTACAAGGGTTATTGTAGGACAATCTAACAAAGGAAGCCATGCATTAAAAAGCTTTAAATTATTAGACAAATAGACAATCATAACGTGGTCATTTAACTTTCATTTTCTTATGTACTTAGTGCAGATAATATAAAAGCTAATGGGTTGGTTGTTTTATTGAATTATTGCACAAACCCTTTCCTAAATAGACTGCAACTGAGTACATTTCAAGAGAGAAGGCCATTACATTGCATTTCCTTCCACCTCTTCTCACTGAGAAGCCAGTGCCTTCAAGTATCCTGAAAGAGAAAAAATAAAGTGTATCCGGAACCTCAGAGGAACAAGACAAAGTACCAGATGGCACTTTGGTACTTAGCAGTTGCCACTAGTGTCAAGGGATCTTGATATTAGCTGAGCATAATAAGTGAAGCCAGAAGTTTCCATTAATATTGGAAACCTATTATTAATGTATATCTTGAAGATGGACTGAAAGAAGTCAACCAGATCAAGAAAATGACTTATGAAAAATAGGACATGAGAAAAAGTGAAAAATAGGAAACGTGGTGCATTATGTTCCTCATAATCCACAGGGGATTGTTCCCAGGACCCACACACATATATAAATCCTTAAATGCTCAAGTCTCATATATAAAATAGTGTTGCACTTGCATATAACCTCTGTGCATCCTCCCATCACTTTAAATCATCCCTAGATTTCTCATAATGTCCAATGGAATATAAATTTTATACACATGGATATTACACAATCTGGTGTACAGAATAATAAGAAAATCAAGTCTGTGTATATTTATTACATATACCATATATTTGATTTGCATTGGTTGAACACATGCAGGAAAACTTGTGGATACAG